GCTATAGTTACTGGTCTCTGACCCTGACCCCTGACTGTTACACACACACTAATATCCATACAACTCCAAATCTCAGATTTTTTACAAAGTTCAGTTATATGGAGCCCCCTGTTCAGAAGTCGTATGATGTTCCTCAGCTCCAAGACCTGTGAAAATACATCCATAGAGAATCTCCATTTTTAGATGGTGTGTTACTAAAAATGGCACTTATGTGATATCTGTAGAGAAAAAAGTCTTTGTTGGTGACGTAAGTGGGGTGTTGGAAAGAAAATGCCCTAGAACATTTTTTTCTCTAATTTCCCTCTTTTTCTTCCTCGTTTGGATTAAAACATATGTATCCAAAACCGATACACAAATTAGGCCTTATGCATCCTAAAAAAAAAGTCTGTGAGACTGAAGCGACCCATCATAATGTTCCAGGCTAGCTTGAGTAAATATTAAATAAATTAAGTACTAACATATCGAATATTTATAGCGATTGTATATTTTTCGTGAATAAAATTCCACATTTTTACCATTAAAAAAGCCATCTTTGAGCTCCAGTCCAGTGACTTTGTTTAGGCTAAGATGGTGTCAACCACATGCTGCAGGTAGGTAGAAGCATTTCCTCAGTCTCCTTCCCCCAGTGATGAGAGTGCAACATTGTAACTTTGTAGCAAGTCCCAAGTCAGGATGAACTCAGGCATGTTGGGATCCCAGTCTGAACCCTCCTGCCAGGAAGGTGCCACTGTCCTTGGCCAATCATAAGCTGCCGAGGCATTGCCCACCAACAGCCACACACACACCCCTCTATCCATGTGGCTGAGGGGTGGGGAATGCATGGCTGCTTGTGATTAGCCAAGATCAGATGAGTCTGACACTTTCTAGCAGGATCGCTCAGGTGGATTCAGGATAGGATCCCAACATGCCTGAGTTCATCTCTACTTGTGACTTTCTACAAAGTTACAATGTGGTAGTCTGATCACTGGTGGAGAAGAGACTGAGGAAACGCTTCTTCCTGCCTGCAGCATGTGAATGACATTTCAGCCTAGGCAAAGTCACTGGACTAGAGCTGCCTGAGCTCATCCCTAGTTATAATATGACAGGCCACTTCAGGGGCTCTCAGATATTTGAGAACACAGCCAAGAAGTGTACAGGCTTGAGGTTTCAGAAATGGGCGGTCCCAATGCCCTGAAACGTGTAGCCATGCCCCCTGTCTTGACATCAACCTGTTTCTAAGTCACTTCTGGTTCCATCGTCCTGTGGCTCCTGTATTCCATTCTGGTTCCTGCTGGTGAGATACGCTCGGCCACTTCCTACTTCAGCTTTGCATTGCCCAGTGGTGCTTCCATTGCAAACTCTGTATAACCACCTCAGCCGCCTCTGCTGCAACACTTGGTCGCTGTCCTACCGATCTCTACAGATACCAACAGGATGATGTGATGTGCCTGCTATATTCTTTATATGTGTGACGGGAGTCACTTTGGGTGAGGGGCCCATGGAACACAGCTCACTTTGGAGAGGTGGGGAGACCCCTGTCTCAGCTCCCCATATCCCTATTATGTGTAAGTCGCCCTGTGCCTGTTAGGGGTACAGGGTGATCTGTCCTAATATTGGGGTGAGGGGTTGTTGATTGTTTAATGCCATGTGGTTGCATCCCATTGTTCTATTGTGTGTCTTGCTTGGGAGCAAACTATTATGAAATGTATGTGTTTGTGTATTGGCTTGGTGGGGGTGTTTCCAGCAGCACTCCCTCCTGATGGGACTGTCTGTTGGTGTGTCTCTTGTTACTAAAGGTAGATTACTCTGCCCTGTGTCATTATGCAGGGAGGGGGGGGGGGTTGTTCCCTTGAATGTATATATCTTGTATCTGTGTTAAAATAAAGTAGTCTATTTCCTGGTTTACTTCAAGACTGGTGTCGTCTAGTCTTGTATGGTCTGCTGTGGTGTCTGTGGTCGGTGTTCGGACAGGGAAGCGGTATCCTAACGGAAGTACCCAAGGGTAGTCTGGGGACAGTTCCGTTACAATATGTGAGTACATTTTAACCCCTTCTAATTTAAAAAAAATAAAGTCTACACTTAGATGGTGGCGCCCCCTGTTCTTTTTCTCACCAAAGAAATGTACGGACACCAAGATTTACATGATTGTGCCTTCTCTGAGCCGGTATCCCAGTCCAGGATGTAGATGGTGACCTTGGATGATGCCTGAACAAAGATGGTGCCATCTTTCTATACAGAAAAGCAGATAAAGGTGTTGCAAAGGGAATAATGTATTCTCCGTGAGAAGTAAAAATTACCTGGAAGTGTTACACTGACACATTGCTTACCATACAGAGATATATCTGATGTTAGGAGCACTTTAATAAGTCATTTGCTGTGTGATAATGGTATCCTTCTCTCTGAAGTTGAGTACAAGCTCAACATAGCTGGCATAATCTCCATTTCTAGCTATGCATCCTCTTGGCGCGGCGACTCGGAGCCTTGAAATCTGTATTCAGTCGCTCTTTGGCGTATACATCATTTTTCCGAGCTGTCCTACTCCGAATGAGCATTTATGAGCACTCAAAGATGTTGATTACGGACACCCAGACACAACTTTGTGATGCTCTCTGTGGCTCATAACTCTCAATTTGTTACTGACGAGAAATCTGGGTTAAACCGTCCGGGGCCCAAATGACAGCTCAGATTGACTCCAACCTTATTTTTGTCACGGCTCGAACGCAGTGGAATGAATAATTCCGTAGCAAATGTCAGCCGTAGAAAAAACTCAAAGCATCCCGCGACGTTGCCTTTTTATTACACGGAGCGAACGAGATGAAAAAAGACTTTCACAAATGTATGTATCCTGTGATTGTGCCATTTCATTAGACTTGGAGGGAAAATTTATTTTCGGGGAATATAAACTCTGAATTGTGTTTACTGTGTATATTTGTTTTCCATCTTATAAAACTTGCATTCGGGAAACAAAACAGACACGATCAAATGCAAAGTAATTCCATCGCTATCTTATCTGGAGAATTGTTCTACCAGGAAAGAATATTTTATTTCTTCACCTCACAAACTTTTCGTGTCGTGTCTGTGAAGGTTCTCATTTATCCAGGTCATGGTGTAGCTAGTAGTTGCTTATAGTACTTGGTCCCATTAAATGGACTTTTTCCACAATGTTGAAGACATTTTGTGGCTTGTTCAAGCTGCTTCTTCAGTTCTAAGGAGCGTCTGGAAGAGATCCAGCATTTATATCCACACAGGTTGCACAGACATTGTCATTATTATTATTATTATTATACAGTATTTATAAAGTGCCAATAGTTCGCTCAGCGCTGTACATTACAAAGGGGGACAGAACATGTGACAGAACAATACCAATACAATGCAAAACATGAGGGGATCGAGGGCCCTGCTCTTTGGAGCTTACAATCTAGGAGGGAGGGGATGGTGGTACAGGAGGAGATAGCTGTGGGGGATGGGGTGGTAGGAAGAGTGGAGGAGGTCTGCAAGTTAGCAGGGGGTGGGGTAGGCTTCCCTGAAGAGGTGGGTTTTCAGGGTGCGCCTAAAGGAGAGGGGAGTAGGTCATAATCTGATGGGTTGGGGCAGGGAGTTCCAGAGGATGGGTGACACCCTGGAGAAGTCCTGGAAGCGGGCATGGGAGGAGGAGACCAGGGAACTAGAGAGAAGGAGGTCTTGTGAGAAGCGGAGTGTGCGTGTTGGGTGGTACTTGGATATTAGGTCAGTGACGTAGTTCAGGGCAGTATGGTGGACAGCTTTGTACATCAGTGTTAGGATTTTGAATTTAATCCGTTGGGCAATCGGAAGCCAGTGGAGGGATTGGCAGAGGGGGGTGGTGGAGATGGAGCGGTTGGAAAGGTGAATGAGTCTGGCAGCCGTATTCAGGATGGACTGAAGCGGGGATAGCCAGCGTCGAGGCAGGCCAGTGAGGAGGGAGTTGCAGTAGTTGAGTCGTGATATGATGAGGGAGTGGATGAGCTGTTTAGTGGTTTCTGGGGTTAGGAACGTGCGGATTTTGGCGATGTTGCGGAGGTGGAGTCTGCACGAGCTTGTTAAAGATTGGACTTGGGGCTGGAAGGATAGGTTGGAGTGCAGAATGACACCAAGTACTCTGGCCTGCGGGGCGGGTTTGATGGTGGCGTTGTTGGATGTGATGGAGAAGTCAATGGGGGGTGGTGTCCGGGCTGGGGGGAAGACAAGAAACTTGGTCTTGGAGAGGTTCAGTTTAAGGAAGTGGAGCGACATCCAGTCTGATATGTCGCTCAGTAGGTGTGTGATTCGGGCAGAGACTGAGGGGGTGAGGTGGGGTGTTGAGAGATAGATTTGTGTGTCGTCGGCATAGAGGTGGAAGTTGAAGCCGTGAGAGTGTATGAGTTGGCCAAGGGAGGAGGTGTAGATGGAGAAGAGAAGGGGCCCGAGGACGGAGCCTTGAGGGGGACCCCAACAGAGAGAGGGAGTGAGGGGGAGGTGGTAGCATTATAGGTAACACTGAAAGAGCATTGTGACAGGTAGGATGAGAGCCAGGAGAGAGCAGAATCTCTGAGACCGAGGGAGTGTAGTTTTTTTTTGAGGAGCGGGTGTGGTCGACTGTGTCGAAGGCCTCATAGAGGTCAAGGAGTAGGAGCACTGAATAGTGGCCATTAGCTTTGGCGGTTAGCAGGTCATTGGAGAGTTTGAGTAAGGCAGTTTCGGTGGAGTGTATGGGACGGAAGCCGGACTGTAGGGGGTCAGGCTCAGAGACCAGTAGCTATGGCATTAGAGAAGCTCCCACTGATCAGCAGGACAAATACACAAACAGGTCACCCTGGAAGATGACGTGGGCTATCACATACCTGGTGATGGAGGCCAATGGAGAGAGGGCTTCCCTTTCGGCAAAGTTCCGGACGCCTCTGAGAGTGAGACAGCGGGAGGCAGACCCAAAGTTGCACAGGTCGCCTGTAGGAGTGCTGGTTGGTGGTCCACTCAGAAGCACAGCTGGTTCACGGAGATAAGTTCAAGCCAAAGTCAGGTACCAGGTGGGAATCAGAGCAGATGTAGTAAGATGGGATAGCCGAGGTCATGCACAGAGGAGCGAGAGAGAGAGTATACATAAGCCAAGCCGAGGTCAGATCAGGGGTAAAACAGAGTAGACAGGTCCAGGAGCAAGCCGAGTCAGTAACAGGAAATCACAGGTCAGAATCACAGGAAACAGGAACCAGGAACAGGGCACAGGGAGCTAGAGATCATCCCAGCAAGGATGATCTTGAGGAAGTGATGAGCCTCCTTATAAAGGCCGTCTGGCAACAGACTGAGGCTGATGTGTACTTCTGCGGCCATGTAGAGTACTGGCAGAAATGCCAGATCTTCCAGAACTTCTGCCGTAGACAGGACCCTGACATGGGCTCACCTGAGGTTCGAGGTCTAATCACTAACTGGTATTCACCAGAGCTCCTGATGGTGAAGATGAGTTTTACTGCGTGTTAGTATCGGGCCAGGATCCTCAAGATAGCCCCACCAGGAGGTGAGCAAGCCAGTGTTCAGTAGCAGACATAGCAGGTGGGGATTATGCAGAACCATAGTCAGTAAACAAGCCAAAGGTTATTAAGTGGTTGCAGGTAGGAATCAAGCAGAAGCGTAGTCAAGGAACAAGCCAAAGGTCGGTAACAAGTGATTGCAGGTTGCAATCAAGCAGAAGTGTAGTCATGGCACAAGCCAAGGTAAAAAATGAATGATTGCAGATTGAGATCAAGCGGAAGCGTAGTCAAGGAACAAGCCAAAGGTCGGTAAAAAGTGGTTGCAGGTTGGGATCAAGTGAAAGCATAGTCGAGGAACAAGCCAAAGGTCGGTAACAAGTGGTTGCAGGTTGGGATTAAGTGGAAGTGTAGTCAAGGAACAAGCCAAAGGTTGGTAACAAGTGGTTGCAGGTTGAGCTCAAGTGGATTGTAGTCAAGGAACAAGCCAAAGGTCAGTAACAAGTGGTTGCAGGTTGAGGTCAAGTGGAAGTGTAGTCAAGGAACAAGCCAAAGGTCGGTAACAAGTGGTTGCAGGTTGAGCTCAAGTGGAATGTAGTCAAGGAACAAGCCAAAGGTTGGTAAAAAGTGGTTGCAGGTTGAGGTCAAGTGGAGTGTAGTCAAGGAACAAGCCAAAGGTCGGTAACAAGTGGTTGCAGGCTGAGGTCAAGTGGAGTGTAGTCAAGGAACAAGCCAAAGGTCGGTAACAAGTGGTTGCAGGTTGGATCAAGCAGGAGGGTAGTCAAGGAACAAGCCAAAGGTCAGTAAAAAGTGGTTGCAGGTTGGGATTAAGCAGTGGAAGTGTAGTCAAGGAACAAGCCAAAGGTCAGTAAAAAGTGGTTGCAGGTTGAGGTCAAGTGGAAGTGTAGTCAAGGAACAAGCCAAAGGTCGGTAACAAGTGGTTGCAGGTTGAGGTCAAGTGGAAGTGTAGTCAAGGAACAAGCCAAAGGTCGGTAACAAGTGGTTGCAGGTTGAGCTCAAGTGGTGTGTAGTCAAGGAACAAGACAAAGGTTCGTAACAAGTGGTTGCAGGTTGAGGTCAAGTGGAGTGTAGTCAAGGAACAAGTCAAAGGTCGGTAACAAATGGTTGCAGGTTGGGATTAAGCAGAAGGGTAGTCAAGGAACAAGCAAAGGTTGATAATGAATGGTTGCAAGCTGGGATCAAGCGAAAGCGTAGTCAAGTAACAAGCCAAAGGTCGGTAACAAGTGGTTGCAGGTTGGGATCAAGCAGAAGTGTAGTCAGCAAACAAGCCAAAGGTCGTTAATGAGTAGTATACATAAAAAAAAAGCAACCCTAAACGATAAGCTATGTAGGATTGTAACAGTACCGTACCATTTGAAGGAAAAAGTAACACATTTTATTCCAGTACTACAATTAGAAATGGGTGCCACACCCTATGGATAAATGGATATCTATCTAGATATATTTATGACATTTTATTCCAGCATATAATAATTACAATTTCCAACAGAGGTTGCACGAAAAGCATACAGATTGAATATTGTATGTAATTTGTCATAACATTTTCAGACATGCACAAAGTGAGAGAACCCTGAATACAGTTACCCACATGGGGTCATCTTGCTTTTTCAGCGAGTTTCACAGGTCAAGGCCTGCTGCTTCAGGAACATCAGTTTTATGAACATCTGTACATATGAAGAAATATTCAACTGATTCCTATTTACAACATAACACGCATGCATCAATGTGCCATTCATCACAGCGCTCTCCATACATTACCTGCTTAGAAGATAACAAAACGTCCAACAGACTAAAAACACATATAAAATGGAAAACCTCTTGGATGGATGAACAAGATCCGAAGACACTGTCTCTACGAGGTGGATCAACAAGAATGTGCCTTTGGACAATACGCCTTCTACAATATAATATGATGAATGTGATATTTATTAATAAATAAATGATATTGCATAATCTTCATAAATAAAACATCTCCAATCCAATATCTGCGTGATCATCACATGCACTATGCATTACATATTTACTACCTTAAGAATCATAAAAATGAGGATTCACTGTTGCAAATCTACAGAATTTTATTTTAAAAGGTAGCTCATAAATGGAACCCATTTATATGGAAATGCCCAAGGTATGTGTGAGATGATAATAATAATAAAAAAGCTATAATTAGGAAAATAAATACAGTATATATCTCTATGGGCCCATGACATTATCCCAACTACACCCCTACTCCTCACAAAATGGGTGATGAGTGGTAGTGGAGATAAGGACAGCTGCAGGTACTCAAAAGAGCAAAATATCGGCTCATAGAGCACAGTAATCTGGCGAACAGGAGGTGCAGAGACATGGGAGGAGCAAAGAGTTCAAGGTTCACCAGAAACAAGAGGTAAGGCAAGATTGTCCAAAGAGATCAGAGAGGGAGCTGCCCAGCATCTCGAGAAGAGCTATAGCCAGGCACCAAAGACGTTGCAGGTCCAGTTCTGGATGCTGACAGACACCTCCATCCAATCACCAGGAAATGTGACAAGGCATATAGTGCCATATTTAACATCTCTTCCCTGGGGATTTTACAGCAATTTACACCTTTCAAACATGTGACTAGAATGAATAACACCTATGCAGACACCAAGGATGAGATGATGTAACTAGAATAGGGTGCTTCTACAAATTTAATACCTAATATCCTATTCTTGAACAATCAGAATTTGCACTGACATATTTCATGGTGACTGGGTTAAATTGTCTGTGTGGATATAAATGCTGAGTATGTTCCTGACACTCAAACCAGAGAAGCTTATTAGATGAGCGTCAAAAGATCTTCAACTTTACAGAAGTCCAGCTAAATGTGACCAACTAATACTTGATATATCATTACCCTGATAAATGAGAACATTTCCCTTCCATTCTGTCCGTGGACAATCAACATCTGCCTTGACACATTCCAAGGTGATTGGATTCCAAGTGTTGGTGCTACCTCTGTGGAAGCTGGGATATCTTCCTGGCAAACGTTACGGTGACTCAGACATGGCATGGATCATCTTCCAACACTACAGATCAAGTCCAATTGAATGTGGCTAAAAACTACTTGATATACCATGAACTAGATAAATGAGAACCTTCAATACTCATTCTGGTCCTGGACCATCAACACCTACCTTGACAGGTTCCATAGTGATTGGATGAGTTTGTGCAGACAATGCTGGAATATGTTCCTGACACCCAATAGGTGAAAATAAATGGCTTGGATGAACTACCAAATGTCCTTGAACATTACAGAACAAGTCCAGTTAAATGCAAATAAATACTACTAGATGTACCATGACTTGGATATACGAGAACCTTCAATAGTCATTCTGATCCTGGACCATCAACATTTGCCTCAACACATTCTATTGAGAATAGATGAAGTTTTCTGTGCAGGTATACATGGTGTTTCCGACACTCTATAGGACCATAGAAATGGCTTGGATAAGCTACAAAATTTCTTCAAACATTGCAGACCAAGTCCAGTTGAATGTGACATACTGCTAGTAGATATAATGAGAACCTTCACCTCCCATTCTGTTCTTGTACCACCATCTTCCTTGACACATTCCATGGTGCTTGGATTAAGGTGTTGGTGCTTCTGGTGTATCTTCCGTTTACTCATTAGAACTGAAGAATTAGTTTGGATAAGCTATGAAGTGTCTTCAACATAAAGGAACAAGTCCACGTAAATGGGATTAGCCACCAATAGCTATACCATGACCTGGATAAATGAGAACCTTCACCTCCCATTCTGTTCTTGGACCACCAACATCTTCCTTGACACATTCCATGGTGTTTCGATTATGGTGTTGGTGCTTCTGGTGTATCTTCCGTTTACTCATTAAAACTGAAGAATTAGTTTGGATAAGCTATGAAGTGTCTTCAACATTAAGGAACAAATCCACGTAAATGGGACTAGCCACCAGTAGCTATACCATGACCGATAAATGAGAACCTTCACCTCCCATTCTGTTCTTGTACCACCAACATCTTCCTTGACACATTCCATGGTGCTTGGATTAAGTGTGTTGGTGCTTCTGGTGTATCTTCCTTCTACTCATTAGAACTGAAGAATTGTTCGCAGGAAGATACTGAAGAGTGGAGGGGGATCAGCATGAATCACTTCTGACAAGTTTTCCTGACATCAAGAGAAAAATGATGATGGGAGGACACAGCCTGTGCATGACAGACTCAGCTCTGTTCCTGTTGTGGCTGACAGAGCTGTGTATATCGGAGGACCTGGGAGTGGATGTGAACAGAATCCAGAGGCCATTCAGAGGGGTTCTGATTCTCAGAGCGAGCTGACCCTGTAGGGTCGATTTAAGGAGGTGAGGGGGCACTTCGGCTAATGGAGGAATTGCACGGAGTGGGCACCTGATAGCACCTGCATGGACATTATTACTTGTGCACTCTCTATGGACATTTGATGTGTTGTGCTGTTGTGTGTTGATTTTATTCACAGCAGAGTGTCTTGGTTTGGAGTGTTGATATAATACGGATCACATTCACATATATATTTTATATCCCCAGCGGGCATATATATGTTGCTGTGAGGGACCGCC